AAAGTGAACATACGGAAAGTGAGAGAGAGAAAGAGAAGTCAGTATTGGAACCAGACATAGATTTTTCAGACAGAGTTTTCCCTGTGACAAAAGCAGGCAATTCCGCGAAAGCAGAGTTTGGGATATGAAAGTCTGGTTAATTTTAAGAAACACAGAATTTAACAGAAAAAAAGGTAGAACAAGCTGAGAAACATCACTTAAAATTGCCCCACAGGCAGCTTAAGACAATCTAAGACTGCAGTGCCACCAAAAGGTGAGGTATCCCATCCCCTTTATATCCTCCTCAGTGCCTCAGCATCCTCATCCCTTCTGTTGCAACAGCACTTGCTGCGATGCAGACACACAGCTAGTTGGATCTGCGAGAGGAAGCTAACCCTTCAAAAGATGATTAGTTTTCAGACAGCGTTTTCCCTGTGATAAAAGCTGCTATTTTGCAAAAGTAGCACATTCAGGACATGGATGGTTGAAGCATCAATGCTGACAGAAGGAAATGGGAAAGCTCACTGGGGAGCACAGGGAAAGGCACGACCAGTCCCTCTGGACTCAGCTTGCTTATGCCTAAAGTGTCAAGCGCAGTTAATGAGGCAAGAAGCACCTTTGCTCTCCAGGAGCCACTTACTATGATGAGGTGTATTTACCGATGTGAGGCACAGACTAAAACAGCATAAGAGGCACTATACTGGGGGACTTAGTGGATTTATTAAGTTAGTTCTTCCACCCATTAACTACAGAACAGAAGAATGAGGTATTAGACAGCTACTAATTAGCTACTAATGTTAAACTGCTGTTACCTAAAAGCGTAGTTTTAAATGGTCTAATCTAGAGTCTTTCTTCCTCTCAATTGCTCATGTTCATATCCTGCAAAAAATTGATGCAATTTGTTCTCCAGTCATGCTAGAGCAATGGTTCTCAACCTTACTGTTCCTGCCTCGCAACTGGCTGGAACTTCCCTTTCCAGCCACTACAGTGGAAGGAGCGGGGTGATCCTATATTCTGCCCTGCAGAAGGCTTTGGAACAAACCAGGAACGATCAGTGAACCACGGGGCAAGCGCAGAGTCACAGCCAAGCACAGAAAACTCCGCTTGACTTCAAACAAATGATTCATGTCTTTACTAAGCAAAAGCCAACAAACTTCAGTGTCAAAGAAAGGCTGCTGGTTTTGAATTTCCATTTTTGACGCAACACAGAAAATGATCTGCAGTGGGGTAGTTTTGAATAAAATTCAAAATTTTTTTGCCTCATGAAGTACCTTTATCAACTTAAGTGGCAGTTCCCTCCCTCACCCCAAGATTACTTTAGAAACCAGTGTGCCTGTTCAGTATCTTCTCTAGGAGGCTGGATTCTGCAAAATGGTTGTCTCCTTTCACAGTCTGAGCACCATCACTGCAAATACTCATACACAGCAGCAGTGACCCAAGCCAGCTATGAAAAGCTTTAACACTTTGTTTCCCAGTAATACTTCAGGCAATGGGCAGCAAAAATAAAACAGCCTCCAAAGACATAACCTTCCTCTTCTCTTTAATCAAGTATCCAAAGTTGGGCAGAGGGTGGCACCTAGGTACTTGCATTCCACAGCAAGGGGATCTTATCCTCCCCTTTTTTGTTTGGCAAGATCTGCAGGTTTGTGTAGCATTAATGCATCAATTTAAGCTTGCTGTACATTTTCAACATTATTCCACAATTGTGCAGAATAATGTATTTTCTCTTATATGATGAAAAGTAGGCCAGTTCTGGATAACAGCCTGAATGCCCCCAGAATCTTCCAGTGCATTTTAAATACATGAATATAAATACATCATATTGTGGTAGAACATCCAGAAAAAAAACATGAGACTCATTCTTGTATGTTTACAAAAGACAGATTAAAGATAATCTGTGAAGACAAAAGACCACCAGATGTCAGTCTAATTCTAGGCAGAGAAGAGATCTGCAGACAAGGACTAAATGGAGACTAATCCCTGCTAGAAAGCAACACAATTCTTCCCTATTATCATTTACTTTCCAGCATATGCCATCCACACTCTTGCACAATTCCTGTCGTATCCAACTGGCTACGAGAACAGCCATTTTTCTGGATACTTCTGAGCATTTAAAACTGGTGGACTGGTATCCACAGCCTCGCGGAGATGTATCCTGCCTTATGGGCTGGGAGGGGTATTCCCAGCACTGCATCACATTGCTTATATGTACAAGAGAGTATGTACTGTCTGCCTTGTCTCCTCTTTCCATACAGACTGAGCAACAGCAGTCCAGCTCTTAACACCACTGTTCAGGCTCCAGGGACATTCAGTTAAGGATGCCCAAACACTAGGCAGAAGTAGCACGCTGAATCCATCACCAAAACCTGAAAATGATGAAGGGTCTTCTGAAGTCAAAGATCTACAGAACAACTAACCAGATATATTGAAGGCTGAGCGGTAGGACTCAGTCTAGTTACTACCACTAAACTAGAACAAGATGTTTCAGGTTCATCACTACATTGGTTCATGACATAGTCTAAATGTTTCAAAAAACTGGTTGAACCTTTTCCATGAGCTATTTTTCTTCCTCCTTGCATCCTCAGTAAACCCAAGGAGGAAAACCACTGCCAGTTTCAATGTAGCACTCAAACAGAAACAGCGAGCAATGTACTGATTCTATCGCAGAAGACAGGAAATGAAGCTGGGCTTTCTAAAGAGTCATCAAGGATCTAAAGAACAACCGAACAGATAGGGCAAAAACTTATTTTATCTTCTTAAACCCTCTGTATTCTTCTCCAGTCAATGTTTGCCCCCAGAATATACCACAAGCACACAACACAGAAGAATTAATCTAAAAGCATCTCTGACTACAGATGTTATCCAGGTATAAAATTACTAATCCAAATTTAGATACCAGAAGAGGGCAGCAAAAAACAGGTCTAATCCAGGAGAGGATTCTTACCTTGTGCTTGGGGCACCTCACTGAGAAATTCTCTTCGTTTAGTAAACAATCTAGAGGAGAAGACAGCAATTTATTACTTTTTTAATAAAAAACAACTGGAATAATACATCATATGTGTTAATCTTGCCTCATAGGTATATATTTTTCATTCAAAGATCTCTTATAGAAATATTATCTTATTAGCAGGTTCATCCCTTCCACCCCCAAAGTTTTAACAAATAGAATTACTAAACACCCCAAGTGACTATGTTGCCTGGATTACCAAGCCAAGTCCAAGCATCCCCAGTCTCCTCGAGCCTCTTTATAGAGTAAGAATCACAACAGCAAATCTACAAATCCTATATCCCAACCCCCTTCAGCTATTCCAGCCTTCCTTGCTACAGCACAAGGATGATGGAGGCATTCATCCAATCTGAACAGACGATCCCTGCTTTATACTTCATAGGAAAATCGCTGCCTTTCATCCTCACCCCAAGGCCCTGCCAACATCAGGGGGAGAAGGGGTGTGTATCTCTAGGTATGGGTGTATATGACAGTTTATTTGCAACCCCATATCCTGGTGATCAGTTTATACTGACACTATGTCTGGTAGTCAGGTGACTCATGCTGCTCTTGGATCTGCTTCCACGATTTGTATATGTGAAGCTTTTATGATCTAAGAAATAGTTTAATTAATGATTTAAACCTATTACAGAAAGGGGGGCACCTATGTAGAACTGCTTATTTAGGAACAAATTAAGCAATACTGTCATTTGAAGAGTATTTCTTTAGTGGCACTGCCAGTGTAAGTGTTGCTTCCCCTCTCACCCTCCCCTCCCAGACGATGCCTCTAAGGGATGCCGAGTCAGCAGCTCCCAGTACTTCAGCACTATGCCCACACCAGGAGCCCCTCCGGCCAGCGTTCTGCCTTCCATTTGTGCCTCCCACATTACCCTGTATTTCACCCTCACGGCCAAGTGAAAAAGCAGCACTCTCCAGAGAGAATCCAGCTGCCTCCCCTGGGCGCCCTGAACTGCAGGGCCACCTCTCAACCCGCCCAAACTTCTGACGCTGTTCTCCCCCAGTTGCCTCATGCACCGAAGGCAGGCTGACCCAGCACCATCACCACCACAGCGTGACCGACACCGTGGGAATTCAGCAAGGTGCTTATGACCTCCTATCTGCTCCAACCTACCCAAACAGCTAGCAAGTAAAGAAGCACAATGGTAAATAAAATGTGCTAATTTAAAACGCTCTTAAGTATGTAGCATAACCAGCGCTACCTGCTGTTTCAATCTGCTGGAAGAGTTTAGCAGACAGCAGGAGACTGCAACTAAAGCTTGAGGGAAAAGCTTTCTAGACACCCAAGTTTTGGCAGAGCATCCCTCTGCTATGAAACACTTATGTTTCAACATGAATGCCTCTGGCCTGAATCAAAGGGAAACAGCATGCAATAGGCTAAGTTACTTGAGAGATTTTAGCAAAGGGGAGTAAAACCTTTAATCCTGCCACAGATAATTTCAAATGCAGTATTAGCAAATAACAGGAAATAAATAAAATGTTGTCTCATTATAAGGGCAGGAATGGTACATTTAGACTACAGCATGAATTATCACTGCATAATACAGCAATCATCAAAAATATACAGAGCAATCATCAAAAACATACACAGTATGTTAGAACAGGATGGAGTTTTCTTCTTTCTTGGAAACCCAACATCGGTAATGAATGCACTTCTCTAGTTAGTACACCAGAAAGGAAGATCGTACAAGGACCAGGAAGAGCTGTCAGAAACCTCGTACCTCATATGCCTCATCTGTGCATGGAGCTCAATTTCTTACTAAGGTTGGGATTTTTGTTGCAAATACTAATAGCAGATCCAATTAATAGCAATTTTCTTCTTTCTCTTAAGGGACAACTACGAAAAATTTCATCAGCTCACTGTATAAAATCAGTTGAATACCAATAAGGCAAAACTTGTTCATCATTACAAAGCTGGCCTGGATTTCAGTTAGCAGTTCCAAGTATTTTATATCACAGATTACAATTCATCATGAAGTCACCAGACACACAGCTATGATCAGTTCATTGTGGCAGAAAGGGAAAAAGAACCGAGACTCGTCCTTGTTTGTACAGATTTTTCTCCATAAAGCAGTCAGGGAAAACCTAAAACATTTTTAATAGAAGCAATTATTCTTCTGTAAGCTTCACACTTTGTCTCACCCTCTGTGTTCTGCTTGTTACTCATCTCTAACGATACTTGTGAAGACACAGGATTTCTGTTCTCTGAAAATTCATTTTATTTTGCTGCTAGTCTTTTCCTAATTTACAGTCAAAAATCTTTTGTATGTGAAACTGCCTACGACACAGGTTGTGGGGACAAGTGTGCTGCCACAATCAGGATCTGACTCCAGGTGGGGAGGAACAAGCAGAGGGAGAGGATACAAAATTTCAGAAAACAAAGATCCTGTTTCCATGGAGACATCCCTAGGACTAAGTTATCTTGAGACATCAGAGGCTCTTCATAAATTTGGACAGACGCACGCCAAACACAATGTTAACCACAGCCATTTCCATATAAAAATTACTTAAGTGGCACTACTGATCCTTATTTTTATGCAAATGGCTAAGAGGAGTTCAGCTCTCTTGCACCCTATATTGCCTTCTATGAAAGGAGATCTAAATGAAGGCTGAATCAGGCTCCATAAAAGCATCCATATGTACGAACTGGCAGCTTATGAAGCCACGTGCCTTGCATAGCAGCCAATTAGCCACAGCGGTGCAAAACCTGGCTCCTCACCAGGGTGGGATTGGAAGCCGACCATCAGCGCAGAAGCCGGAGCCCAGGCCGCACCGCGGGGCCGGCCCTTCAGTGCTGAAAGTAACTGAAGCCGTTTTGAGATATTTCACCCTCCAGTCCTTTACCAAAAACGCACTGCCTTTCAAATGAGGCACAGTAACTGACAGGGTACTAACTTCTAATCCACACCAATGCAAGGGTAGAAACACGCTCTGCCTAGGAGTACGACATGCATGCTTCATCCCAGCTAAGGCATGGTCGCTTCCAGGGATGTTACAGTAACTCGGTCAAACACCAAGTGTTTATGATTTAACATACCCTAAAAAACACTCCAGAAAGTGTCTTCTAGTTTTTGGGTTTGCTTTTGTTTGTTTGTTTTAAGATACAAAACCAATCATGCATATTCCGAAAGCCCGAGAGCCCTTGTTAGCATCAGCACAAACTTCTGAGGATTCAGGATCTGCCCCAGATCCTCAATAAAGCAAGGTGGCACCATCCTTCAAAGCAGGACAGTCAACTTCCAATTAAACAGTCAACTTCAAGTGAAACTACCACAGAGCTCAAGGAACTTGAGAAGTATCTGTATCTGATTCACTACGGGAAAGACACCAGCACTACATAACCAATAAAAAGGGTTTATAGGCAGGCAGCAGGCTGAGGAAAGAGAAAAGAATGCTTATTTGCTTCTCAAGGAAGCCTGCATTTTCTGCTTGGGCATAAATGAAAATCAAGCCCATATAGCTTGCTTATTTCTTTTATACATATTTATTGGAAGAGC